TAACATACCCACCAACTAACCAAACACATTTTTTTAAAGATTCCCAGTAATCTTTTAAGGTAATCTATCTTCCCAGTAATCTAACATTCCTAGTAATCTAACATTCCTGAACCAAACGCCCTCTTAAAGCAATTTAGAGAAATTCAAATAAACAGAGGTGGCTTTGGTCAACATGACTCATTCCATGTTTATATAAGCCAAATAAATTATGAACTAAAATCAAAGTGAAAAACAAAGGGATGCATGTGATTTTTGAATTACCCCTCTTACACGTTCAAAGACAATCACAATAGTAATGGTGGCCAACAGTTATTCATACTCTTTGAAATGTTATGGCAAATTTCTTCATAGTATTTTAGTAGAGACTTAAGCTTTGATGAAAGAAAAAAGACTCTAAGGATATGTTTGGTTCAGCAAATGTTTTATTGCTGAAAATGTAGGATTACTAGTATAATATATTACTTTAAAGATTATGGGGGAATGTTATGTCAATATGTTTGGTTAGATTAGTGGGTATAAATAATTAATATGTTTGGTTGGAAAGAATAAAATATTATCGACAAATGTTTTTACTGAATTGCCCTTCCTTTTTAATATTATTATTCTTATTTAAATAAATTACTTTTAACCCCCCCTATATTTGAGAATTTAGCTAAAACATCTAACAACAAAGTTTAAATTTTAACAAAATACCCCCAGCCACCCAAGACCACCGCCAACCATCGGCCACCTACTGGCGATAGCCACTGAAACGGTGTACGACCAGTGAGATTTGGTCGACTGTGCGCCGTTTTAGTTGTTTCCAGCCAAATCCATGCCAATATGGCTATTTTTAGCTAGATTGAAAGCCAAAAACAGTCAAATCGTCGTGGATCTGGTCAAGAACGGCCAAATTTGTTCTGGTCATTTTCGGTCAAATCCACCGTCATTTGGTCGTTTTTGGCCTTTGATATTGCTAGAAACAACCAGATCAATGCACGATTAGCCAGATCCTGTCGGTCGTGCATCGATCTGACGACTATTGCCAAAGGTCGGCGGTAGTGACTACCAGTCAGTGGTAGTCTTTGGTGACTGGGGGTATTTTGTTAACTTTTAAACTTTATGTGACTATGGTGTTTTAGCTAAATTCTCAAATGTAGGAAGTTTGAATAATTGTTATTTGGTAGACATTAGAGGGCAATTTAGTCGAAAATGACTTTTATTTAAGGGCAAATTTGGTTTAAAAAAAAAAAGATAACCTTGGTAAAAAAAAGATTAACACCCTTAGACTAGGTAAACTGACAACCCCCAAAATGACCAACAATATTCACTATTGAGAATAAAACATTCTTGTAATCTTATATTACTATCAAACAAAGCAAAAAAATGTTTGGAATAAAAAATGGATAACAAAAGTTATCTGCCCACAGCCCTAACCAAACACAACCTAATGGTAACAACAGTGGTTATAGTTACCCTCATCAATTGATTAAAGAAACTCAATTTCTTAAAATATTTATTTTTAAAATTAATTTTTTACGGCATCCCATAAATTTTATAAATACCCTTTATTCCATTTTTTTATTTTATTTTAAATTTGTAAACATTTCATTCCCTTCCTATACACCCCACAATCATCATTCCTAAATCAAAATTATAGATATTCAAATTAAAAGTTCAAAAAAATTAAAGTTAGAAAAAGAAAATCCAAATAATTAACTCAGCAACATGATACGATAAGATTTGTAATAAACAAATAAAAATAATATAAAATTATGTTAAACATGAAATATCTATGTTTTCTAGCTAGTTTTTCATTAAAGATAATTTGATTTAAAAATAAAAAATGATAGGCAATTAAAAAGTAACAATTGTGTATTACTTGTAACCTGCAAGTTTTCTTCAGCCATTAGACTATCTCTTACTTCTAAGTATGATTTTAATAGTATATAAAAATTACAATTTATGAGATAAAAGTAGGTTATCAAAAGCGTTTGTAATAAATAAGAAATTAATGGCAATTTTAATAATTCAATATGAAGATAATTTTGTCATTATAAAAATGATTAAATCGTCAGACTTTTTTAGTCTATTAATAACAATTGTCTTCTTTACACTTGTTAACTCCCCAAATATCACGTTTTTAAGAGCTCTTCTACTTTGAGGGTATAATAGTAATAACAAATATTTCCTCCATACTTTTTATTTCAAAACTTTGAAATTGTAGTTAACAGAAAAAAAAAAAAAAATTAGGTTAATCAGAATTCATAATTTCACAAATAAATTAAAACTTATTTTATTAATTATCAAAACTACTTTTGCTTCGTTTGGTTCGCTTTTGGGAATACTATCATTAGTATTTCTAAAAAAGTTAAACAGTAAAATGTCATTATTCCCAAAATATTATTCTACATTTTTTCAATTTCTTTTAAACCTCTTAAATTTGTTAATTTAACTAAACACCTCCAAATATTTTTTTAAGAAATTACAAAAACACTCCGGCCACCCTCCAGCAGTGGTGGCCAGCTGTTCGTATTTACTGGATGGGTTGGAGGTATTTTTGTTAACTTTTAATATTTTATTATATGGGTGTTTAGTGAATAAACAAACATAGGGGATATTTTTGTTAATTTTCAAATCCTACATCGTAACACCTACCCAATTTAACTTTTTTCAAAAAATTATTCTAAAACTATCATAATAATGAACCAAACGGAGTCTTTTATGTTTCACTTTTATTTTCTAATCTCATGTATCTCTTATCTTTTTAGACTTAAAGTAAACTAAACTATTGTTGGTCTTCTCTAGGAGAGTTCTTTATCATTATTATTTTTATTTTTATCCTAAGTTTTATATTTAGGAGAATTGACACAAATTACAATGTTTAAATGGAAAAATGACCATACAAAAAGAAATTACTATAACTTGAATCAAACAAAGTATTTATGTTAATTTTTAGAGTTGACAACATTATAGAAATATAAGAATCTAAAAGATTTAAGATATTAATCAAAATAATGAACATGTATATATTAATAATTTTTCTAAATACGTACTATTTTACTCCTATTTAAAATGGAAGATGGGGTTAAAAATCAGTTGCCTCATTACCCAGACAAGTTCTAGAACAATTATTCTTTCAAGTTCATTGGGCTTATTGCATGGTCTTGAGGCTCACTTATTTATTCTTCTCTTTTCGGGCTTGTTGCATGGGTCTTATTGGGCTCTTGCAGCAAATTTAAATTCCACCCACAACAGATGGATATTATTTTCTCATTACTATTTTATAACAACAATTATTATATGGGTGGATTTATTAACGTCTCACTACATTAAAAAACAGCTCCATCCAATCATCCATTATTAAAATTAAATTAAATTTCTTATTTTATTAAAAATAATTTTGAAGCCACTTTATTATCTCATAAATCCAATTTTACTATTCGAATCATTCATAAGACAAAAAGATAGTTTAATGGAAGAATAAAAATTGTAATGGGATATTCAGTTACAACCAATACCAAATTATAAAATTCTAATTAATTCACATATAAATTTATTGTAATTTTTTCATCAAAGTATCTATAGATATTTTTTTTATATTGTTTAATTTTATTATATTCTTAGAATTTTTTGTAAGAAATTTTTTTTTAAGATTTAAATTTTTCTGAATTTTCAATTTAATTATCTAAATTTTATTTTTGAAATACCGAGGATCGCAGGTTATAGCATAACTACTACAAGGTTTATTAATAATATTATGGTATACTCTTAACAATAGTGAATATCTAACATTGATGATAGTTTTTTTGACAGACTTGAGTTAATTGTTGCGCGCACCCATACCTCTCATTATAGTCAAATCATCCTAACCCAATCATACAAATTATTTAATAGCATAATTTAAAAAAAAGTTTTACGAATTATAATTTAATCATCATTGACCAATCCAATTGGAGAGAAAAAAAATATATATATCAAAGATAATAAGGAGTTAAAAAAAAATTAAACCTTTGAGATATGATTAAATAACAAAAATCTCCCTAAAATTTATGAAATAATAAAAATTTTGTTGTGTTAGTAAGTTGTTAGTGAGTCGTTAGAGCATCTCCAAAGAACTCTTTATATGACCAAAACTATTTATTATAAAGAGTTTATCCATAAAAACAAAAGTCTAACTGACTCTTTATTTTTAAAACATAAATTAGAAAGTGAGTTAGAGAGTCAAATTTCACTCTCTACATTTAGAAATTCAAATTTCACTTTCTATCTTAATTTTAATTAATAAATTACAAGTTCATATGTATTTTATTTATTAATTCTCTCTCTTATCAAATCTCTTTCTTAAAAATAAAGAGTATCTTCAAAAAGTCTATTTGATTTGAATAAAAATTATGTTCATTATATTTAAAAATGAATGAAGATGCTTTTATTTATATGAAAGATACTCTTTAAAATAAAGAACACCATTAGAGATGTTCCAAAGTAATAAATATTTACTAAATTGTCTTTTTATTATTAATTTTAACACTTAAAATTTAACGGTAAATAGATTTTTGTTTTTTCAGAAACTTCAAAAAATTTTTTTTTTTTTGTTATTTAATCATAACTTATAGAAAAAAATGTTATTAACTCTAGAGTTATCCCAATCTCCTTATCCATGATGTTTATGAAATAACATCAATTTCTCTTTTATTAATGAATTGTCGATGCGTTGCTAGAATTTCTAATAATTATAAGTGGATGATGATAATTTAACCGTCTATTCTAACATCTAAAATTTAACAATAAAAAATTTATAAAAAAAATATTTGGGATTTAATGTGCTTAATTTAACTCTATAATAAAACAAAAAAGTTAGCATGTTTTACTTTAATCATCTGTTGGGACATAAAAGTATTTCCACTTATTAAAGATGATTCAATTTCAAAAACAAACAAAAGCAGCGTCTTCACTTTCACTTTCACTTTGTCAAAACAAGTTCATTCATTTTCTCCACTCTCTATCAAAACAAAACAAAACAAAATGCTACATCTCATTCTACTTCAACTGCTTCTATTCTCACTTACACGAACCGCCACCTCTCACTACAACAACAATTTCTCTTCCTCCTCGCCCTCCGCTTCGTCGCCGCAGTCCGAGTGGCGCCCGGCACGCGCCACCTACTACGCCGCTTCTGATCCACGTGACGTTGTCGGCGGCGCGTGCGGCTACGGCGATCTGGTGAAGGCTGGCTATGGTAAGGCCACTGTAGGTCTGTCGGAGTCTATGTTCGAGCGTGGCCAGATCTGTGGCGCGTGCTTTGAACTTCGTTGCGTTGAGGACTTGCGGTGGTGCATCCCTGGAACCTCCATTATTGCTACTGTGACTAACTTTTGTGCTCCTAATTATGGTTTTAATGCTGATGGAGGCGGCCATTGTAATCCGCCAAACAAGCATTTTGTGCTTCCTATTGAAGCTTTTGAGAAGATCGCTATTTGGAAGGCTGGCAACATGGCCGTCCAGTATCGGAGGTACTTCCTTTTTTTTTTTTTTTTTTTTCCTTATTTATTATAATTATTATTTATTAGTTCTGGTGAGTTGTAATTGCATGTAGGGCACTTTTGTTTTGCTTAGTGTTGCAAGGGCATGTGAGGTTGGCCTACTTTTGTTTCTTGGAGCTTGTGAAGTGCAGTGAAGAAGATGAGAAAATGAAATAAAAATGAGAGAGAAAAAAAAAGCTGCAAAAAGCCTTAACGATCAAAAACATGTCAGGATCAGTTTTTCAGAATTCAATTTTGTGAATAATAAGCCAAACACTATTCAAATAATCGGATCCAGAATATGAAAATAAATATTAAGCCAAACGCACCCCTTTTTTTTTTGCCTGATAATTTTTACACATTGAGTATTAATTTATTAATTTATGTTAGAATGATGAAAATATTTTGAAATCAAGCTTTGAAATTTATTTAAAAATTGTGTTAAAATTAGTTATTTGTCTATAATGGACATTTTTCTATTCAAATATATTAATTAAGTTCCCCTCGTGAGAAGGTTTAATTTGAACACACCCAATACTTTCTAGGGGGTGTTTGGTTGAGGATAATATCAAACTATTAGAGTTATATCATCTTATATTACTTTAATTATCACATTTGGTTGTCAAGTAATATAAGTTTCCGGTAATCTTTTAATACCAATAGTAGTTATTGTTGGTAATATTATAGGTAATCTGATTACTTGTATTTTCTTAGATATTGTAAGATTACTAAGATAATCTTATTTTTGTTACAATTCTATCTCTTATTAATAAAAAATTTGGACAATAATGCCCTTGTTTTAAAATCAATTTACATTAATCTGCCATTACAATTTTATCCTTGTTTAATTAAGTTTTTGGACAATAATGCCCTTATATTTAAAACAAATTACAGACCACCACCACACCGCCACCTAGCCACCACTGCCGACAGCGAGCCAACCACCGTAGACTACCGTCGGAATGTCGCTGGAGTCGCTAAAAATGACCAAGAGTCGCTGGGAGGCTCTAGGAGGCTTCGATATGGCCGTTTCTGGCCATATAGATGGCCGAAAACGGCCATATCGGAGCCTCCCGGTCACGGTGGGCTACTCACGGTGACTCCAAGCAACTTTCGACGACTTCCGACGGTGATTTTGTTATAGATTAAAGTTTTATATAAGCAAGAGTGTTCTAGCTAAATTTTAAATATTGGAGGTTAAAAGAAACTATTCAAAAATTAATAATAAAAATAATATTATATTAATATTTAAAAAGATAGCAATTTAGTAATTTAAATAACATATCCATCAATTTATTCCTCCTAACCAAACATATTAATATAACATACCCACCGATTTATTCCAACTAACCAAACACATTTCTCTAAAGATTCTCAGTAATCGTCAAGGTAATAAAAGATTCCAATAATCTAATATTCTTAGTAATCCAACATTCCCTGAATCAGACGCACCCTTAGAGTGCGTTTGGTTAATGAAATGTTGTATTACTAAAAATGTTATATTAATAGGAAGATTGATTACCTTGAAGATTACTGAGAATGTTTAGAGAAATGTGTTTGGTTAGGTTAGAATAAATCGGTGGTATATATTGAATTACCCTTTTATTTTAATATAATTATTTATTATTATCATTTTAGATTATTTTTAACCTTCTCCATTTGTTAATTTAGTTAAGCACCTTTACAATAAAAGTTTAAAAATTAACTAAAGCACCCCAACCACCCAAGAGGACAGCCGACCGCCAGCCACCAACACCAGACGGCAGTCGTCGAAACGGCGCACGACCGGTTGAATCTGGCTGGTTGTGCACCGATCTAGCCGAAAATGCTAGATCTACGACCAGAACAAAGGCCAGAGATTTAATCATTGTTAACAGCTAAAATCTGGCCGAAAACGGGCAAATCGGCACATGACCAGCTATATCTGACCAATCGTGCACCATTCGAGCCAAGTTAGTCGACGGTGGTCGCAAGCGGGTGGCGGTGGTTGCTAGCGGGTGGTAGTGGTCTTGGGTAGCCTGTAATTTGTTTTAAATACAAGGACATTACTGTCCAAAAACTTAATTAATTAGAGATAAAATTGTAATGACAGGTTCATGTAAATTAGAATCAAAATAAGGGCATTATTGTCCTAAAATTTTATTAATAAGGGGTAAAATTGTAACAAAAATTAGATTACTAAGTAATCTTAAAATACCTAATAAAAGGATGGTAATCAAATTACCACCTATATAACCAACAGTAATTACTATTGGGTTTAGAAGATTATCGGAATCTTGTATTATTTGACAACCAAACATGGTAATGCAAATAATATAAGATGATATTAGCTCAACAATCTCATATAATCCCCAACCAAACATACCTTTAAAACCATTAAAAACCCCTTATGATAACGACTAAAAAACAATTTAAAGTTTAAATCATTAAAAATACCCTTTTCAGTGGAGGTTTCAATGGATTATAGGAAGGTATTGGATGATTTCCAAAAAGTTTGGGTGTACATATATTAAACAATCTCAAAAGGGGTGTATGAATAAACCCTTCAAATAATTCAAACTTTTTTTCCAAAGAACCTTTCATAATTTTTCTTTTTCTTCCAAATATATGATTTTAATTCATAATTTACAATTGTTATTGCATTATAATTGAATAATTGTAGTAAATATTGGTAGCCATCCACTGCCTTAACATGAGGTGGTGAAAAGTGGGAAGGGGGGGAAGATCCCAATTCATTTGTTATCAATCCCCTTTCATTTGTTAACAATTTAAAGTTTAAATCATTAAAAATACCCTTTTCAGTGGAGGTTTCAATGGATTATAGGAAGGTATTGGATGATTTCCAAAAGGTTTGGGTGTACATATATTAAACAATCTCAAAAGGGGTGTATGAATAAACCCTTCAAATAATTCAAACTTTTTTTCCAAAGAACCTTTCATAATTTTTCTTTTTCTTCCAAATATATGATTTTAATTCATAATTTACAATTGTTATTGCATTATAATTGAATAATTGTAGTAAATATTGGTGGCCATCCACTGCCTTAACATGAGGTGGTGAAAAGTGGGAAGGGGGGGGAAGATCCCAATTCATTTGTTATCAATCCCCTTTCATTCGTGATCAATCCAAAATTTTGAGGAACAATGCTATCTCTCAATTCTCTCATTTTGGTCCCCTATTATTTACTTTATTTATTTTACCTTTCCTGAGTTATTACTAAATAACACCACTAAAATTACAACACGTTATCAGTACAAAGAGCTTAACAAGTGTACTCCTATTGAAAGATGGACTTCGAAACTGAGACATCGATATCCAGTAATGGTGGAGACATTTGTATAGCGGACAGTGTAACAATGCACATTATCCTTCGGGATGGAAAATATTTCTCAGGTTTGACCTTTACTAAGGCTAAAATAAATACCATATCAGGATCTGCAAACATAATTGAGGGCTCCGGAAGAGCAACACTATTGTTACCAAGCGGAACTAAATTAAATATCCATGATGCTTTATATTCTAGCAAATCCAAAAGAAATTTGCTTAGTTTCAAAGATGTTCGACTTAATGGATACCACATTGAAACTTTAAGTGAAAAAGATGGAGAGTTTCTATACAACACTACTAATATTTCAAGCCAGAATCATGTATTGGAAAAACTCATTGCTTTCTCATCAGGGTTATATTACACATTCCTAAAGAATGTTGAAGTCTATGCAGTTATGAACCAGAAGTTCATTGATCCTAAACTTTTTAAGATTTGGCACGACTATCTTGGTCATCCAAGATCTACTATGATGCGTAGGATCATAAAAAACTCACATGGGCACCCATTAAAGAACCTAAAGATTCGGTTACCTAATAAGAGTGCTTGTATTGCTTGCTCACAAGGCAAATTAGCACTTAAGTCATAAATGACTAAAGTTGGTCTAGAATCCCCATCATTTTTACAAAGAATTCAAGGGAACATATGCGGACCTATTAATCCACCAAGTGAACCTTTCCTCTATTTCATGGTATTGATTGACGCATTAGCACAGTGGCCACATGTTTGTCTACTATCTACTCGTAATGTTGCCTTTGCTAGATTGTTGGTACAAATGATTAGATTATGGGCAAACTTTCCAAATCATCCAATTAAAGCAATTCGTCTAGATAATGTTAGTGAGTTTACCTCAAAGACATTTGATAACTATTGTACAACAATAGGAATTGATGTTGAGCACCCAATACCACATGTACATACCCAAAACAGTATGACAGATTCATTTATAAAGCGTATCCAATTAATTGCAAGAACTTTGCTATTACGTACGCAATTACCAACTTTTGCCTGGACTTATGTTGTTTTACATGTTGTAGAGTTAATTAGCCAAAGACCCACTGCATATCATCAGTACTCTCCAATACAACTTGTATTTGGACATCAACCTAATATATCACATTTAAGAACTTTTGGTTATGCTGTGCAAGTTCCAATTGCACTGCCTCAACGCACCAAAATGGGACCCTAATGTCATTTAGAAATATATGTTGGCTATGACTCACCATCCATCATCAGATATCTTGAGCCCCTGACGGGTGATCTGTTTGCTGCACGTTTTGCCGATTGCCATTTTGATGGACAATATTTCTTCCTTTAAGGGGAAAAGTAAAGCCTCTTGAAGTAAAGCTTGAACTTTCTTGAAAATTGAATTCTATGTCTGGCACATCTCAATCTGAAATTGAAGTGCAAAGAATAACACATTTGCAAAATATTGCTAACCAAATGCCTGATGCATTTACAGATGCAGCAAAAATAATGAGATCATACATTCCTGCTGTCAATACACCAACAAAGATTGATGTTACAAATAAACAATCCATACGGGCAACGATCGATTCATCTGCTACGTGCTAGAAGCATGGTAGGCTGGTTGGAGCCAAGGATACTGTTCATAAGAAACAAAAGGCATAGAACCAAATAGGTGTCGATATTGACAATACTAAAATAATAGACAATTCTACATCTTCTAAACTAACTCCAGAAGAGTTAATAGTCCCTAAAATGACACAATCTCTTGAAGAGGAATAAATCCCTGAAGGAATGCAAGAACATAGAAATGAAAAAATTTCTAGAAACTATGCTCATAGTAAATAAATGTGGAATAGTAAAAAAAACTATTGTCAGTAACAT